ATACTGCTAAGCCTCCTGCCTGTGCCTTTCAGATGTAGGCTCTGGTTTTCTGCAGTACTGTGTATGAGAACTTTGCGAATGCTAGGCACGTGATCCCCGCAGTTAACCCATGGCCCAGGATCTTGATTCTGAATCTACACTTTCCAGCAGTGCTTGATAAATAGTAGGCAGTAAATGTCTGCTTGGTTAACTTCCGCCATCCCAACTAGCTTTCATATAAAGATGTTGGAAAGGTCAGTTTTGTTGAAAAATGAGTTATGACCAGTCCTAACACACATGCCCTCCAAGCAAAATTGCAGCCATTGACAGCAGCATGGAAATGATGGCCATGCTGTGAAGGCACACCTGTTAATTTTTAGTGCCTATGTCATCAAAACAGGCACTGTTGGATGGGACTGGAAACAGTCATGTTCGGCCTGTTATCACGCTTATCAGTTGTTGAAGTGGGACTCTGAACCCAATACTCTTGCTCTCTTCCATGACTGACTTGGAAGATGGAGTTGATGCTGCGGGCTAATGGTTTTCACAGTAGATTGCCTTGAGGCCTTGTCTGAATCACTGTTTTTGTGTTATGACACTCTGTAATACCTTGTCCTCTTGGAAATTGTTTATCAGCCTGGCACAGTCTCAACATTTAGTTTTTACTTTTAATCCTTCCTCTTACACAGTGGTTCTCAACTTCCCTAATGCTTCAACCCATTAATACAGTTCCTCATGTTGTGGTGACCCCCAACCACACACTTATTTTCATTACTATTTCATAACTATAATTTTGCTAACGTTATGATTCATAATATAAATACCTATGTTTTCCGATGGCATTAACCGACCTCTGTGAAAGGGCTGTTTGACACCCAAAGGGTTGAGAACCCCACAGACTGAGAACCCATGCAAAGTACGAGCCATGTTTCATGCTTGATCTGACCTAACCTTGTGTTAGACCATGATTGTTATAAGAGTATTTTCTTTTGTGAACATGGGTGAGCAATTTCTGGAGGCTTATTGAGCATGGCACTGAACATGGAAAGAAGCTAAATTTCCAGCACCTGAAGCAGCTATTTGGAAGATTATGGTAGTTCCTAGCAACTCTTAGATTCTTGGCTCAGTGGGTAACAGCAGGTAAGTTCTGAGATAGAGTCTCCTTGTGCGTTCTTAGGTGATGTGAGGGGCAGAGGCAGCTTCCCTCCTGTCATTTTGTGTCCCTTCTGGCTTCTGATGTTAGTTGTGGTCTGGTTTATGGTGCTGCTTTCTTCATGATTGTCTTCGTTTGCGCGCGCCCGTGTGTGTGTGTGTGTGTGTGTGTGTGTGAGAGAGAGAGAGAGAGAGAGAGAGAGAGAGAGAGAGAGAGAGAGAGAGAGAGAGAGAGAGAGAGAGAGAGAGAGAGAGAGAGAGAGAGAGAGAGAATATGTGTGTATGGCATGTGTGTGGAGGTCAGAGGATAGTCCTCTAGAGCTGTCTCTCTTCTACCCTAGGTTTTGGGGTTCAAACCCAGGTTGTCCGGCTTAGAAACACCCTCACCCTGTAACCTTTTGTTTTGAAGATTTCTCTTCTTCCTCACTTGGCCTCCTGTATCTCTGCTGCGTTTTTTCTAAATTGCTGTCCCCCAGGCCCTTCAGATCTACTTATAAGTTACCTCTGGGTTTTGTTCTCTTTTGTTTTTCTCTTTCTGACATACTGAAGAGAGCTGACCCCGCTCTCAGCGAGTACGTTAATACATCTGCACACCTTCCAACACCCATGGCTTAAAACCCTGGGTATTATCTTTCTGCACACCTTCTGCCACCCATGGTGGGAATTATCTTTCTGCACACCTTCTGCCACCCATGGTGGAATCATTTCTTCAGAGGCTTGATACCCGAAATGAAGGCCTTGGCAGGATGCTTGGTCCTGAGGTTGCAGGTACCTGCTTGGCTCCTGGCCTGGGATCACATGAGTTTCTGCCTCTGTCTTCATGCGCTTTCTGTGAATTCACGCCCCTTTTCACTTTCTGGTGTAAAAGTCACTGCCACTTGATAATCCCAGTGATCCAGAATGGCATCATCATCCTGAGATCCTTTGCTCTGCTCTGCTGAAGGCTGGGTGTCAGGCGGCCCCTGTGTGGCTTGCCCTTCCCATCCGTCTACAGACCACAGCTACCCAGCCTCCCAGGGCTGTCTTCCAGGGCTGACAGCTGTTCTCACTTGTCTTCACATTGCACCCCACCCCAGTCTCCTCACTTGTCTTCGTCTGTTTCAGGCGTCCACACACTGTCCATCTCATCTTCCATTGCTGCTAAACTCTTCCAGTGGCTGAATGTCACACCCCGAACCCTGCTCCCAAGGCCGTGGATGGAAATGCCTCTCCCTCCTTTTTCCTTATTCTCTGAGGGCTGCAAATGCTTCTGCTGGCCTCATCCACTTGGGCCACAGACATGCTCAGACCCTCCCCTTCTAAGGAATTTTTTTCTTCACCTTGCTGGCTGCCCACTTTCCTTTTGTGGACTGTACTTGTCCACTGAACTATTGAATATGTTTCTTTCATTTCTGAAGGACACTGTTTTCAAAGGTTGGCAGGGACCTCCTCCCAACATTGTCAAGAGGTGGAGATGTGTGATGGTGACAGCCTCATCACCTGCGATAAGATGTGGTTTCCCCACCACAATCTCTTGTTTTTTTTTTTGGTTTTTACGAGACAGGGTTTCTCTGTATTGTTTTGGAGGCTGTTGGTCCAGCCCAGCCTCGAACTCACAGAGATCCGCCTGCCTCTGCCTCCCGAGTGCTGGGATTAATTAAAGGCGTGCGCCACCACCGCCCGGCCAATCTCTTTACTTGTAAATGGGAATATATTAGTACCCACGGAGCTGCTTGAGAGAATTAATTAAGGTGGCACACGTAAGGCATATGTAGGGATGCCATGCAAAAAATATGTTGTATGTCATGTGTTAGGTATTTTCTCCTAAATTATCTTTTTTATTTTGTTGTTGTTTTAAGACTTTGCTGTTGTTATTTAAGACTTATTCTTACTTAGGTGCCCACAGAGACCAGAGGATGCTGTCAGATTCAGATCCCCTGGAGTTGGTGTTTCAGGCCGTTGTGAGACATCTAACATGGGTGATGGGAACAGAGCCCTAGTGCTCTTCAAGAACAGCAAAGTGCTCTTAACCACTGAGCTATCTCTCCACCATCATGGCTTTTTTTCTCAGTAGCCCTTGCAGCATTTAACCTAGTTGACTTATTTTTAGGCTGTGGGTTCTTCTGAGGTTAATTAATTTGGGGGTCATTTAGCCTTAGTCCACCCATGTGTCACCTACTCACATGGACACATTATCTTCTTATGTCCATTCTAGGTCATCTTTATGGTAATTCACAAGTCTAGTTCCATTATAACTGTTGCCAGATTGCCTAGCCCTCACTCAGGTCCCGTTGGAAACATGTGTTCCCTTGACAGTAAAGCAGGTAGGGCCCAGGTGTGTCTCAGCAGTCAGGAACCTGGACATCAGTGCTGCAGATCTGTCTTCCTGTCCAGCGATGCTCTGATGTCCTTGCGCAGGGTATAGCCTCCTCCTCCTCAGTGCTCAACACTTCCAGTGAGCAGAGCTGGATGTGGGGAGGATGGGTGACAAAAGTTTTTTTTTTAACAAATCTCTTAATTTTTGTGTGGCAGAGAGGGAGGCACGCTCATGACGCCCCTGTCATAAGCCCTGGATAGAACACTTAGATGATTTTGTAAACAATTGCCTTTCGAAGTTTCTCCTTTTTCTCCTCTTTCCCCAAGCTGTTTTTATGGTGTTTTTCTTCCTTTTAAAAGGATAACTGGCAAACAAGTTGGATTTATGTCTCATTATACAGAGGGAAGTAGAAAATGAGCTAATTAAAGAACACACAGCATGGTTTTAATTAAGTAGTGGTGTTTTTTTAGTACATTTCCGACTTGTCTCGAGACATAGGGGCAAAGCTGAGAAAGAGAACCTTATTTATTTTCTGAGTTATAGTTTCTTACAAATTGGAATAAAAAATTTAGATAAGGATTTTTTTCTTGAAGTGTCACCAGGGAGAGATTGCGTTTCCGATTATCGATAATGAGCTAGGATGTAGCTGAGTGCCGGTCACTGTGTGATGTTGGGGACTCTGTCCTGATGGTTCCTTTAGTGTGACTTGTCGGCACGGCACGGAGTCCTTGTCAGCTGCTCTGCGTTTAAGCACATCTTCATTCCCAAGAGGGTTCCTGGGGACCAAACCCACGGGGCCGCTTGCCTCAGGAATGGAATTGTCTTATCTGTAAACGATTTAAAGAAAACTAATAAATTTCTTCCCATTGTTGAGCATGCTCCCCAGCTTCTCCTTATGTCTGTTTCTCCGTCTATGCAGTGAATAGAAAATGCATTCCATTGATAAAAAATTCGTCTGTGTCATGATAATCTATTTTTCCCCCAAACAGTTTTGTTACCTGTAGCTGAATGTATGTAGATTTTAAAGTTTATGTCTCTAAGACCCAGGATCATGTCCCTGTGTCTTAGCCTCTCAGCATCCACTCAAAGACAAAAATGTAGTAAAATCGTGTGGTGTTTCTAACCGTACGTGATAGATGAAATCTAAATAAGTTAAGTTCAATTATAAGACCGTTTTCTAGAAAGTGTGAAGACACTGTTTACGTTTGTTTTAGTGTGTGTGTGTGTGTACATGCGGAGGTCAGAGGACAACTTGAAGGAGTCGGGTTTTTTTTCCTCTTCGTGGGTCCTGAGGATCGAATTCAGGTAGTCAGGCTTGGTGGTGGATGCATTTACCCTCTGAGCCTCCTGCCTCTGCCTCCCTAGCGCTGGGATTAAAGGTGTGCATCACCATGCCCGGTGTTCCTAAGTTTTTGAAGCAGAAAATAGTCATTTTGTATTTTGTTTTTCCCTTTGGCATGGTAGATAATCGAGTGTCCACTTTTTGGTTACTTTGCTAAGTCTGAATATAATCTTACTAAGAAAATCTTATCATTTCATGACCTTCTTTCTCTTGTTTGTTTTTCTTTTATAGCCAACACATACCTCTTTATGGTACAAGCTCGAGGTATCATGCTGAGAGAGAATGTGAAGACTATTGGACATATGATCAGGCTATACACAAATAAAAACACCACACTCAATGGGACAGGTAAGGTTGTGTCCTCCTTTGCTTATCCTGGGAGTTGCCGATCAGTAAACAAACCTTTTAAATTTTAGTTCCTTTTCCTGCTCATCATTCACTGTCAGACAGAGGGAGCTGCCTCCTACTAAATGCCCCACTAGATGATTATTGTCCCCTACTAAGAGGATGTCTTCTAAGTGTACTGCTAGGTTGGCATCCCCTACACGATGTATCCTGGGTTGGCATCCCCTAGAACACAGTGTTCTGCTAGATTAGTAGGACTGTAATTTAGTGTTGGATGTACTTCTTAGTAATTGTAGGGCCTTTTAAAGAAGTGGAAGGATGCATTTTAGGATACTAGAAATCAGCACCCGCTCTTTGCTGTATGCAGTGTTAACTGAAAGTGTGCTCTCCTTTAGCCCTGCACAAGGCTAATATCAATCTGACTCAACTAGGGATCTTCTGATGGCAAGAAGTTGGTGGCAATGGCTTTATTTCCCTGTTGTGGAAACGAAGTGTCTCCCAGTATATTATGGGATGTCACATTGACAAGATCTGTGACTGCCCCTTGAGACACTCTTTAGGTTTTTGTTTTAAATGGTTAAAAACTCTTTGTGTCACTGAAAACACACTCAGTTCTCACTACCTCTGCCCTCCCCACCAGAAAGCCTCTATCTCCCCCCATAGTGGGATTTTAAATTTATGTCAGGTGGGTGGGAGTTTTACACCTAAATTTGCAGATGATATATGCACTTGTAGAGAATCCATCCTACTCATTTGCCTGGGTTATTTATGATTCCCAAATCTGAGTACTCTTACTTTCCTTTAAGCTTCGAAGCTTAGTCTCACTTAGAAAGACTGTCTCGAGGTAACTGGCCTTTCGATAGTACAGGCTGTCTCAGTCTCCTGCACTGGCTGGTCATATTAAGTTTAAACATTCGAGGAGCTTCTTTGGGCCATGCTAGTTGAAGAAGTTGATGGTGAGGATTTTCACTGAAAAGTCGATTGAGCTGGAGTGTAAAGTATGTTTAGGTTGCTGTATTTGTCTGTGTGAATACTAAGCATTTCATGTATCTTTTTTTCCCTCTCTGGGATATGAATAAGTTCTATGTGTGGGTGTTGAGTTTGGCTGGGAGCAGTGATGACTTGAGCAAGCAGATGTTCCTGCAAAAAACAAGGAAATTCTTCCCCTCTCCCAGTCATGATTTTAATAAAGATGAAGCGACTGGGAGGTACTCTGACAAAGAGCTGTTTACTTTTGTGAACCTCTTAGAACCTTCCACAGGATTCCCTCGCTGATGGGGAATGTATTCTGGAAGACACAGGAGGCATTCCTGTCCTGTGAGTCTAGCAAGCTGGTAACCTGTGGTTGTTGTGGGGGGTCCTGAACACAACCCACAGTGTATTTTTCATTTTCCTTTTAGTCCTACCTGCCCTGCAACCTTATTCTTGGTTGACTTACAGCCCAAAGTGGCTGCTAAGACTCCAGTCAGCCACCTTTCTGCTTGTTCGTGGTTCAGTGGGGGGTGGGGTGGGTTGGGGGCACAAAAGATGTCCTCCTTTAAGGAGACTTCACAGAAGTCCCCCTGTGTCCCTTCACCTGCCCACTGGCCAGAGCTAATTACACGGCTGCAGGGTGATGGGAACGGAGATAGGAAACGTTCCGAGTGAAGCTGGGATGGTCACCCAAGGAGACGGGAAATGGAGTCCGTGTTGGCAGCACTGAGGCTCTGCCAGGCTCATTTAAGCAGCGTTTATTGAGCAATTAGTACATGTCATGCATGAGTAGATATGGGAGGTGCTGTGTTAGGGAAAAAAAAAACCTTTAAATGCGGAGCCTTCCAGGCTTCTGGGAGAGATGGAGGCATGATTACTTAAGTGCATCTAATTATTTCTGCAAAGACTTAGATAAATTTGTCAAAATTAAAAAAAAGAGGCCAATAAAATGTACAGAGCTGCAAGTGAGCACCACAGGAGGCCTGGTTAGTACATTTATAATGTACCTCGAGAAGGTAACTCGGCCGTGGCATTTGTGTGCAGGGTTGGTTTCAGTGCTGTGCCTGACGGCGCCACCCAGCGCAAACAGACTGGGAATACTATTGTGTAGAGATCCTAAGGTCTCAGAATCAAACGATGCCTTTCTGAGCAGCCTGTGTGATTGACAAAACAAGACGCAGTTACTGAAAGTGGATTTACGATGGCCAGGGCTGGGTAGAGATGATGGATTCGTTAGAATGCGGGGATGCTTCCTTACTTGATGGGTGCTTCAAGTGAGGGCGTCGGCCATGGCCATCTACCCCTGTTAATGACAAGCACATCAGAGCTCTAATGGAGTTCCCGTGCACCTTCCGAGGTTCTCTCTTGCAGAAGTGAAACTGTGGAGAGGGGTCCTTCGGTATCCTTCTTGTCTCTGCTCTTTCCATTTGACGGCGGAGTTGGGAGCTGCCTGGCACTGGGTGTGCTTCTGGTTGTGGTTCTGGGAGGGGGAGGCAGGCAGGTGGTCTGGAGCTCGTTTTTCATTCCCATCCATTCATTAGATGAAATAATGTCTGCCTTTCACAGAAGCTGCGGTGAGTGTCAAGTATGTTTATCCCACGTAACCTCTGAAATCTGTTCAGGGCTTTCAAAGCAGTGGTTGCACTGCGGACAATGCTCACTCACTGCCTTCGCGGGAAGGGTGCTTGTGTGGGGTTTCCAGCATTGTTTCCTAACCTTAAATCACTCCGGCTGCTTTATCAGCCACGGCGTGTTTATTTGCTGTCTGCTCCTCCGGTGCCTTAGGTGCCTTACTTATGCGGGAGGTTAAAGACAGCTGGATTTCCGTTTGAACAAGCTTAGGCTAGTGGTCCCAGCTGTGGTCTGGCTGGGGGCAGCGGATGAAGGGCTTGGGCAGCTGGAAGCATTTCTGCCAGTCTCTTAGTGATTTCTGTCGTGTCTGGTCGTTTACAGTGCTGTGGGCTGGAAACTCAAGGGATTAGCCAGTATTGCATGTGTTTCAGGCTCTGAAACTGTTGTTTGGCTTTATTAGAACTGGTGAAAGTAATGCTTGTGTTCTTTTATGAAATGTGTAATCAGTTTAGCCCTAGATTACCCACTCTGGACTTCTTTTTATTTTTTTGTCCTCAGACTCCCTCTGACTGTTATATTTGTTTTATAGACATAACCAGAATTTGAAATGTAAGGGAGTTGGACTTGGGTCTGGCCTAGGTATTAGTGATGGAAATTAATCAGCTATGCAGAGCAAGAAAGTATTTCAGTGCGAGTTAATACTTAACATGGAGGAGTTACTTGGTGGGGCTGGAGAAGTGGCTCAGTGGTTATCGAGAGCACTTTACTGCTCTAGTAGAGGACCCCAGGTCAGTTTCCAGCACCCACATAGGGCATCTCATAACCTCCTGTAACTCCAGCTCCAGGGGATCTAATACCCTCTTCTGACCTCTGCAGATACTGACATGCTCTGTATTCTCTCTCTCTCTCTCTCTCTCTCTCTCTCTCTCTCTCTCTCTCTCTCTCTCTCTCTCTCTCTCTGTGTGTGTGTGTGTGTCTGTCTCACATACAAATAAAGAATTTTATGAAAGATGAGGTCACTGGAGCACTCGACATGGCAGCCATGCTTGTCATCCCAACGCTTAAGAAGCTGAGGCAGGAGAATTGATGCAATTCCGAGGCCAGCCTGGGCTAGGGATTTGAGTTCCAAACCATCCTGAGCTAGATTAAGACTTTACCATGAGCTACCAACTACCCTAAACACAGACAGAAATATTACCTGAGAGCCGTATGAGAAGCCTCGTAGTTTCCCACCTTGGTATTATTCTTAGAAATGAGTTTGGGGAGCACACAGCGGCAGTGGATCCAGCACAGCCTGGCTCTCCATCCCCAGCTACTGTGCCCGGGCAACAGGTGTTTAAGAAAATGGACGAGATCAAGAGCGGCCATTGACACAGAGCTGGACTGTGTCCTTTCCAGGGTGTATGCAGAAGAAAGCTGTGAGATGTATTGATCTCATATCAAAAAGCAATCTACATAAAATGCTTTCTTCAGTTTAATTCTCATTTTAAGGTAGAGGAGGGCTACGGTGAAAGTTTCTGTCGCGCCTCTCCTTCAGTTCCCATACTCAGAGAGAACCATCTAGAGCCTTACAGTTTCTTCTGTATTTACGGCGATGCCTCCTCCTCCTCCCTCCGTTTGAACCCAGAGCTTCAGAAAACTGGGTGTGGGCTTTGACACTGAGCTGCACCCCCGAGCTAATGAACTGCTGCTTGTCATTGCCCATAGCTGTCCGGCGTGGAGGGAAGGAATGCACTTAGAGCTCACTCTGCTCTCTCAGCGTCCACCCTAGATGGAACATCAGGACCCAGTCAAATGTGCGGAGTTCCGGGCGTACATAGTGGTTTCTGTGTTCCTAGGGTAAACTGTTTCAGTGGCATTGTTCGTCCATGCTCCCAGCCTTCCCACCCCACCCCGCTGTCACTAAGCTTTTCTGCTGAGTATCACAGGGTTCCCCGGGCTGCCTAGACACACAGCGCATCATGGGTTCTAGCCTCCCCTGCGTCGGTTTCTGCCCCCCAGTGTTACCTCCGAGAATATGACTGGCATTCTGATGACAATTATTGTACGTAGATCAGCATTTTTGTGTGTTTTTCCCCCTTTCTGAAGCCTTTGGAACCCTTTTCTCTTCCTCTTCACCTTCCTCCTCTTAATCTATTTTTGTACTGTCGGATTTCTTCACTTTGTCCCTTCCGGTGTGACTGAAGCTGGGGCCATGGGGCTTTGTCCTCGGTTCTTTGTGCTGATTTCTTGGGTCATTCGTGCTCCCCCACTTCTAGCTCTTTTTTTTTTTTTTTTTTTTTACTTTATAGGAGATTTCTTTGATCGGTTACAAACCTTTGATAGGATCTTAAACTTTTTTCTAAACCTATCTGCAATTCTTAAGAACTCCTTTTGTTTTCTTTCCTTTATTTTTATTGTTGTTGGTGCTATCATTGTTATTTGGTTTTTCTTGAGGTAGTGTCTCTGTATATAAATTCTGGCTGTCTATTAATTCACTACGTAAACCAGGCTGGCCTCAAACTCATTGGGGTCCCCTTGCCACTGCCCCCTGAGTGATGGAATTAAGGGTTTATGCCAGTATGCCCAGCTTGTTTGTTTTTCTTAACCATGTATAAGAAATAAGAATCTCTTTCCGTCAAATGAAAAAAAAAACCTTAACATTATATTTCAATAAGCAGGAAATCTATTTGTTGATTAGCTAAGACACTCTGAGGTATACATCCAAGAGTTTGACAAAGATCTGCTGAAATCCAGACCAGTAGTGCTCATCAAGTTTTTTAGTGGAGATGGAGAAACTTAAAAAAAATTCTTTTAACTTTTATCGATTCTTTGTGGATTTCATATTATGCATTCCGATCCCACTGATCTCCTAGTCCTTTCTCATCCTCCCTCTGCACTTGCAAACTACCCCCCCAAAAGCAAAACAAAACTTAAAAGGAAAACCAAAGACCAAACATAGCAGAAAAAAAAGACAAAAAAAAAAAAAAAGGAGAAGAATCTCATTGTGGAAGCTGTAGTGTGGCCCATTGAGTCTCAGTTTCCCCTTTAGTCCATTCATCTTTACTTGGCAAGTGTTCATTGTCAGCGGCCACTGATCTGGCTCCCGGCCTCGGGTTTCGGCTACACCACTGACGATGGGCCCTCACTGGGGCTCCTCTTGCATATCCTGTTGTTGTCCTGTGTCGTGGCGATCCTGCAGCTTTGGATCTGTAGGCTTCTCCTTTCACATGCTCCAGCGGTTCACAGATGTGGTGGATGCTGGGGTGGGCCAACTCATAGTCCTGGTTCTGGGTCTGGGTGGTAGTGGAGTTGTTCAGCTGCCCAGCTTTCCCTCATTATCACTAGCTCTCCAGTACTGCCCCAGCTGGCCCACCCAGTGCAGCCTGCAGCAAGGGCAGGACCAGTTCTGCTCTTGGGCTCTAGGGTCTGGCTCACCCACACTCACCACCAGGCCAGCTCTACAGTTTTACCCACACGAAGTGCAGGGCGTTTGCTCCCAGTGGCTACAGGGGACATAAAGTGTGTGTGTGTGTGTGTGTGTGTGTGTGTGTGTGTGTGTGTGTGTGTGTGTGTGTGTGTGTAGGTGGAATTACAAGTGGATGTTGAGTTGCCTAGTGTGGGTGCTGGGAACTGAGCTTGGGTTCTTGGCAAGAGCAGTGTGCACTCTTAAATACTGAACCCTTCCCCCAGCCACGTGCAGGCTCTTAATTCATGCTTGGAGCACCAATCCCTCCCATCGGCAGAGCAGAATTCCTTAGGAAAGAAGAGACTGTTTTAAAAATAGGATCTGCATTTGATACATCCAGATACATGTATATAAAGCTCATCAAAGGGATGGGCCTCGCTGGACCTCATAGTCTTGGTGTATGTGGCGTATGGTATCAGTTTCAGATGCCTTAGATGGAAGTACAGTGTGTGGCCCTAAGAGGGATTTCTGTCATCTTGGTCTGCCCTTGCTTGGGCACGTGAAATGATGGCTGCTCTGTCTCTCCTGCCCCCTTGCTTGGAACACTTCCCTGCAAGCAGCTTGGGGGAATCGCTCCTCAGAGCAGCTTGGGGAATCTCTCCCAGGGGCTTCCCATATCCTGGTGCTGCCGTATGCCTTAGCTTGTCTGTTTATCATGTCAGGCATTCCTGGCCGTTCAGCTAACGCCACACGAATGCACTCTTTGGTTCACAGTGTGGGTTTCCATGCAGGCCTCTGGGAGCGAACCTTCTTTGGGCTTCTGTCTCTTCCTTGGTTTTGGATCCAGAGCCTTCTCCCGTCTCATCTGCCTGTTAGGAGACTCACAGGGTCTTCTTCCACAGTGGGCCTGGAGGTGGACTGAAGCTCTGCTTAGAAATGTGCCCCTGGTTCCCGGGCTCTGTTTGGTGGTGACAATTTCTGTTCACAGCAGTGGTGCTTAGCTACAATGGCTCTTCTCACACACCTGTAACCATCCTCATGCGGTCTTCACGGACCAGAGGGCTTAGTTTTTACAGTCCTTGCAGTGGAGATAATTGCCCATGGCTGTAGGAGCATGCTTACATTTTCTGTGTCCATGGCTCAATGTAGCAGGCTCAGCAGTTCTCCAGTTGTTTCTGTCTCTAATCTCTGTTAACCGCTCTAGGCCAGCTCCCTCCATACAGCAGGAAATGGGCATGTCCTGTCCCTCAGATTTGCATTTTGCATCTATGCACTAAATTGTGATCCTGGATTCCATGTTCAAAACCCCTATGCCTGTGACTGTCACATGTTGGGTCAGGTACGCAGTCACTCGCAACTCAAATTACTGAATAGTTTCATGAGATTATTCACTCTAGACTCTTGAGCGCACTTGTGTGTGTGTGTGTGTGTATAAGAGACAGAGTGTGCTTGTCTAACATGCATGTGTATATTCACTTATTCATGTGCACATGTGGAGGTTGACGTCAATTGGGTGTCTTCCTCCATCACTCTCCACATTAATGTTTTTGAGACGGGGTTTCTCACTGAAGCTGGAGCTGGTTGTTTCAGCTGGACTGGGATCTACCCGTTTCCATCTGCCTATCCCATTGCTGTGTTTACAGATGTTTACACGGTTGCTGGGGATCTGAACTCAGGCTCTCATGCTCACACAGCAGACACTTTATCCACGGGGCCCGTCTCTCCAGCCTTCTTCAGCCTCTTCGTCTTTTTCAAATCTGAAAATGCTAATAGCAAGGTAGCGAAACCCAATTGTCCTACTCTCAAAGCGAGCACAAGGCTGGAGTGGGATTTGAAGGCAAGCATTTGGTGGTACTTCAGGCCATTGCTCTGGGTGTGGTGGAACTTGGTGACCCTAAAAAAATGGGCCAAATTTAACAGTTCCGGGATCTTCAGGAGCTGCAGCCTGCAGGGTAAGAATGTGACTGACCTGCAGGGCATTGGTGGAGCACGCCTTAATCCCAGTACGCAGAAGGCAGAGGCAGGAGGATCTCTGTGAGTTGGAGGCCCACCTGGTCTACAAAGCCAGTTCCAGGACAGCCAGGACTGTCTCAGAAAAAAAAAAAACCTAAAAGCAAATAAATAAACAAAACAAATAAATAAATAAAAATGAAAAAACATGACTGACTTAAAGGCTTAGAGTATGCTGTTCCGGAAGTACATTGACGGTGAGTCTCCTGGTAAGGTCAGGGAACCATCCCTACCCCCTCTGTTCTTATGCAGAGAGGTGCCCTGGTGGTCAGGCTGCTGTAAGGTGGAAGGACTCCTTGTTCCTTTAGGTTAGGGCCAGCCACGGAGGTGACGGAGCAAAGGGCCCTGTTGTGTTTGCGTGTAAGAGTGAGGGCCTGCGGCTCTCTGCACCCCTCCTGGCAATCCTGCAGTGTCTGGCCCAGCTTCCGTGTGCTTGACTTGGGTTTTTTCCAGGTCATTGCTTGTGTTTCTGTGCAGGGCATGCTGCAGCCCTCTCCGAGCTGGTGACATACTTCATGGGAGAGACAAAGAAAAAGGTTGTAAATTTCTCCTCTCTCTCTCCCTCTCTCCAAGATTACCCTGAAGGCAATAATTCAAGTGACTACCTTGTGCAAACAACAACGTATCTCCCACAAAACTTCACGTATTCACCGCATCTCCCCTGCCCAGAGAAGCTGCCGTACATGCGTAAGTGTAAACTCTGTCATTATAAGTGATTAAAAGCCACGTGGTTTGAGCATGTCATCTGATGGATCGTTACTCTGAATGCTGCCATTTCCATCTTTTAATTTAATTTTTGGAGGGGGAGTGAGCACTGTTTTTGATGGTGGATGGTTGAAAGCTGAAGACATACAGAAGAAAAAATAAGATTATGAGAAATACCTGTATTTCTCCCATCTAGATTTGAAAAAATACTTTGACTTAACTTTTTTGTTTGTTTGTTGTGATATTTCAAGACACAGTTCCTCTGTGTATCCCTGGCTGTCCTGGAACTTGCTTTGTAGACCAGGCTAGCTTAGAACTCACAGAGGTTTGCCTGTGTCTGCCTCTGGAGTGCTGAGATTAAAGGTAGGTGCCACCATGTCCAGCTTTAACTTTTCAATTCTCTTAAAGCAGATTAAAAAAGAGTAACTAATGTGATTTCTCTCTTTGGGTGTCAGAACATTATAGACTAAGTCATGGTATTCTCTTCCTCTTCCCCGTGTGAGTTCCCCTTCTCTCCCTCAGAAATGACCTGGTGTCTGTTTGACGTGTGCATATATAGAGTACTGTAAACTTAGTTTTACATAGATAAATGGAGAGAGAAAATACAGTTTCAAAAGCCTTAAGAATTTTCCTACCCAAGAATCTCTCTGCAATTGACAGTCACCACTAAAGAAAAATGAGTTCTCTCCAGTGGAGCCTCACTGGGTATGAAAACCACTCATTCGTAAGGGCACGGCCCATGCCCAGCAGTAAATGGCCAACGCGAAAATGAACTCAGTGGTATTTTTGTCTTACAATGATTTGTCTGGGCTTTTAAAATAATTATTTATTTACTTATTTGCTTTACAGGATTTTTTATGGAATTTCTGGGTGTGCAAGTGTTATGTGTCTCTGTGTCTGTGTGTGTTTCTTGTGCTTTTGGCTTTTTAATTTATTTCTTTTTTCTCCTGTTTGTTTCTTTGCTTTGTCCAGTTCTGGTTGTTGGCTTTTGTTTTCATTTATAAGTTATATTTGTTTAATGAGAGAGAAAAAGAAAGGGTATGGATTTGGCTGGGTCGGGGGGGGGGGGGGATCTGGGAGGAATTGAGGAGAAATCATGGCCACATTATATTGAGTGAAGAAAAAAATCTATTTTCAATTAAAAAAAAGAGTAAAGGAAGGAAACAACCAAAATTAGATGGTTGTCTAAATTACATATTACTCTGTGACCTGAATTTTAGCTTATTTTTTAGAATGACCGATGGTCTTCCATGTGGATTTGAGTTGTTTTTCTGAATTATTGTTTTATTTTCCAGTTCTCACCTGATGGGAAGTTAGGTGGTTTCCACTCTTTCTTTCTTTTATTCACACAATTGGGAAAAATAATCCTCTATCTTCCTTTCCTTAGGAACGGTGTAGCCCCGCCCTTCCTGCTCCCGTGTGCCTGCGCACTCGGGCTCTGATAACTCCAGTGGCTGCTGTCCCAGCTGCCCTCAGGCTTCCCAGGTTCTTCCAAGTTATTGTCATAAACAGGGCTGATTTATATCACTTTGATGTTGGTGGGCTTTGTAGTCTTTCTAAAAATTATCTACTAGTTTTAACTATGTACCCATCCTTGCTTGTGTTCATGGAGTCCAGAAGAGGGTGTTGGATCCCTTGGAGCTGGAGTTACAAGGGTACTCGGGAGTTTCCCCGGATATAGGTGTTAGGAACCCCCAGTCAGAGTGGGAAGCGTTGTTAGCCTCTGGGCTGCCTCTCCTCTTTGTGAGTTTTAAGCTGATCAAACAGTAAAAACAGTGTCCCATTATTCAAGTTTTTACTAACCTCCTTACTACTAACGGTTACCTCTCTGCCCCTCATGGCTTCACCCTGGATGGCTGTTGGATCCTATTCAACACCTGTGTCAGGCATTGATATTCCTGTAGTCAAAATTGTCAGTTGTGTGTGCTCTAAGTGTCTTTATGAAGTCTTTTATGAAGTTCAAATTACAGTTTTTCAAATGGATCCATCTGTAAGACTTTGCTTTTTTTTTAATTAAAGAAAGCTTTTCTTGCCTCGACGCCATACAAATACCTTTATTTCCCATTAACTTTTTGATTTTCTTCTTATGTTTTGCATCCAGTGTGTAGTAGTGACCCAGGTACTATCATTTAAATGTATGTTTTCAAACATCTATTTTTCCTGCTTGCAAAGATAAACCGTTATCCTCCAGCTATCAGAAGCTCCTCCTCTGTTACTTGCCACTCTTTTAGGAAGAGTTTCCATGTGATAGTTTGTATCTTGGTTTTTATATACTTGAAGATTTAAGTAATCTTCTTTTGATTGTTTATTTACCTCCATGCTCTATTGTCCTTAGTGTCTAAGTGTGCTTCTTCTTATGTCTTTATGGAGGAATTACTCTCTGCCTACCATGGTTGTAGGCTGGCTTTTTGGTTAATTGTTGGTAGATGTTATAACTGTGATACAAAGGAAGACCAACCACATGGCTTAATGTATGGTTTTCTCCATGGCGGGTGCATCAGAATGACCCAGAAGGTTCTATAGAGCACAATGTCCCTATACCCTCTGAGTTTTCCTTTCAGTGAGGCTACAGTGGCACTGGGAGTTTTCATCTTAAAGTTCCAGGGCGCTGCTGGTGCTTACCACATTTGGGATCGCCAAGAGCCTGACCTAGAGTTCTAGACTTTGCCTCAGGCTGTACAGAAGAATTGCCTGGGGAGCCTCTATCCTGTTTGGGCACAGCCCATAAGGCTCTTGGTTTTATTGATCTGTGCTGCAGTATTAGTAAAACAAACAAATGAGCAAGTGATTCTGATCATGCTAGCTCTGTGTGTCCCACAATGAAGAATGATGAGAAGTGACTCCTGTGGCCTCCTCATCCATCATTGGTTATGACAGACTTGTTTTCCCAAAATAAGTGTTTTTGTCTGTGCAATACTGAAATCACTGGGAAATGTTCCATTGGAGTATTGATTACAGTAATTTCCTCTTCATAATTTGTATATTCAGGGAATTATAGTTGCAGGACATCTTTGTCTTTGGTTTAGTGACCGTTTTCTTCATTATTGGTTTGTGGAGACTAATTAAACAGTTGAAAGTGTCTGCCTGCCAAGCCCTCATGCTGTACAATCCTACAGCTCCTGTGGGGCGGCTTCTCTGGCCTGGTGCTTGGGAGAGTTCAGCTTGGCTGCCGTAGGCTCTGGGGCTGCCGTTCCCCTGAACTGACAGCTACCTGTCCACAGCAGGTTGCTCCATGATTTCTAGCCTAAGAATGAGCACCAATCTCATACCCAGGGAGCCAGGGCAAGTGGGTTGCTTCACAGAAAATGTGACTATGTACAGGTGATATTTCAGAAGGGGACTATGAACATAACCAGAATAATGAGGCTCCTGCAGAGAGGGTCCTGTGTGAACGGGGCAGGGGTGGAGGGGTGGAGACAGAGACACAGAGAGGACGGGCACACGCGTGCGCGCTCGCGCGCTCGCGCACACACACACACACACACACACACACACACACACACACACGCTAGTCACATGACTGCCCAGAGCATCTCTGTATCCATCTGTAACACACGGATTGCCAGTGCCCCCTTAAGCGTGAATGAAGATGAATCACAGTATAGCGTGTGAAACTGGACCAGTGTTAATTGGATTCCTTCCTTCTTTCTCCCATTTGTTTTGATGGAGCCCGACTTTGTAATAATCAAGGGGATGAGACATGTGTGTGATCCTGTAGCTTACCTAGCTGTGCAGCCTTAGAACAATTCCCTGTGACCACAGAGAGCAGCATTATGTGACATCTGAGTGTAAAATCTTGTAGCATGCACAATTGTTGGCTATACTACCCTTTCCAAGATGTAGTTGGATGCAAAGGACTCAAGTATGGCTGCTATTTACTCCTGCCTGCCAGCTGTGGTGTGAACTAATATCGGTGTGCTTGATTATAGAAGTACACGCTCTTCTGGAGTCTCCCCTAGTGTAGCTGTAGGATGGCCAGCCCCAGATTTCCCTACTGAGGAGTTTGAATTTCAGCAGTGTTTGGTATTCAGGTTATTTGTATGAAGAGGGTGAGTGATTATTTCATTGCTATATAATATTTACAGGCTCTCCAGAGGGCAGATCAATTCTCAGTTCTCTTAAATCTGTGTAAGACTCTTGGAGATAGCCAAGTGAAATAGAACCCTGTCCTCCCAGAGCATAACACGAGGGCTTTAGCAGAGGTGCTTTGGTTTTGATTTTTCTGTGTGGAGTAGAGATGGAAAATGCCAGTTGTGTACTCCGAATAACAATGGAGGTGGACTTACCTTCTGCCTGCTTGTCACTCAAATAGAATCCCCTGGCAGTGACTTTTCCTTATCCTATGCTTGCGCTGATAGCCCCCGTAGTCGCAAACCTCATGAATGCAGGAACTTGCTAAGATGAATTTTAACGAGTGGATTGAAATTCATCCAAGGGGAAAAGCATGTAAATGCCGGAAGAGCTCACACAATGCTTAACGCAACAAACTGTCGTATCATGTGGATGTCTGCTGCAAAGAGAGACAGCGGCCATTGGGAGTGAGTGAGAGGAGTCAGCATCTGGCTGCTGGCCTGAGTGGCCACGGGGCCTCTCAGAGGAGCACAGCTAGTGCGAGCCAGCCGAACTGGCGGAGCAGGCAGCACCCAGGGAAATGCGGCGTTCTGTCCTCAAGGTGAGGCATGAGGCAGAAAGGACAGTCACTGAGGCACTTCGGAGCTAGGTCTTCAGGCCAGTCCAGAAGGAAGGAAAACAGCCCTGGGCTGAGGAGGAGCTCATGTGTTTGGGCAGTGGGGAGGGCAGCGGGGAGGGCAGCTTTAGCTGGAGAAGCCTACCACACTGAAGGTGAGGCTGGAGGACAAGGGTCCGTGTGTAGTGCTGGCGAGTCCTCCGGCAACCTTGAGATTAGGGAGAGGGTGGAGTCAGGGTCTCTGGTGAGGCATGCCTTGGCCAGATGTCACTGCTGTCTGAAGGTCGTGTGACTT